CTTGCTTCCCATACCGTTTCATATTACTATTTTCAAGCATCAATACCTAATTCCTTTTTTAAATAACCTATTCTGCCTCATCAATTGTTTGTGTCAGATAATTCCACATTCCAACCACTCTGTGTTTCTCCATAATTCTTCTATAATTTTTGTGATTGTTTTAAATTAAAACCAGTCAGTAGTGACTATTTACAAAACACATCCGCGAGCCATAAAGCTTTGAACTGAGACCTAAAGTCTACTGAGTCATGAATCACATTATATAAACATCACTATAATGTATTAAATAAACATGGTACTAATTTCTGTGGAACTGGATTAGACCCAGGATGATGGTCATCGAGCACTGGGCTACTTTGATCTAGCACAATAAATATGGAGCTGGATTAGACACCCATCACCTAGCAGTATGCCTTAGCCACAATCTTATAGCAGTGTCTTCACCAGAGGGATGGTCCCAATTCCTATCGTAATGTTTTATTGCCTTTCTGAAGGGTTTATGCCCAGTTGTAGGTTGTGGTTCTACATCCACTGGGTTGAATCATCTCGCTTATTTCATGTAGCTTCTTTCCAGCTGAGCAAAGAAGACTTGCATTTCAGAGATGAAGGCAGTGTGGCAATAGTTATTTTGATCTGCAAATCAATCTGCTGTTTCTTATTTCAAACCAATTTTCACACGTCTTCCCATTAGAAATCATAGTGGCCTTTTAAAACTCACTGAGTCTTCACCTGGTGCTAAAGTTATAACAATTATACACATTTTAATGAAAGCTCCATAATTTGAAACTATATGATCATGGAAGAACGGTTTGGTGTAACAGCTTAAGTGGTGAGGCCTTTCTGGATAGCATGATGAACTTAATCAAGTTATTTTCTAGTCTTCCTCATCTTGGCAAGACTGGATTTATCATCAGTAAGACAGCTAAGGTTCCAGTTGACCTCCTGGGTTTCAGCTGTTGCAAGCACCCCACTTCTGTTTTCAAGATGCAACAGATCTTTTAGTGCAGGGTTCATGTTTCACTTGCTCTGTCAACACCAACAAAATTACATATGTATAGCGCCTTTCACATCGGGAGGACATCCCAAGGCACTGGACAGACAGAGTTTCGACCCGAGCTGGGGGTCGGGGCGGGTGGAGGGCAGGGGGGAAGCAGGGAGATCGAAAGCACAGTCGAAAAGGTCTTGAAATGGGTTTTGAAGGTGGTGAGGGGAGGGACTGTGGACTTGGACTTCTAGAGGGTGGGGCAGAGTGGCAGAAGGCCCGCCCGCCAAAACAACTGAAGCAAAGTTCCGATTGGTAAGGCAGTCTAAGTTGAAGGAGTACTGTGAAATTTACTAGTGACTTGTCCTGGTACACTATGAAGTTACCTTTTTTATATATTCTCTTGTTTTGATTACAGACTTCTGAAGGCCATCGAAGAGTCTATGGCAACAAGTTTTGAAAGGGAAAATAAGATGTCAATAGGAATGTAGCATATGAAGAGGAACAATGCAAGGCATCTGAGAGAAGTGCAATTCTTAAACGTTATGGGCGATTATCTGTATTGCTGATCCATACATTCGAACTACCACCATAGTATTTCTGAAGAATGCAGAATAGTGTATCTAATAGATATTTTGCAAAGCCTTTATTTTATGCCCTCAATTTTTGTATGTTGAATAAAATCTTTGATATGAATTTTTCTATTGCATCAATGTTTTTATTGTAAGGAAAGAAAGGTCTAACTCTTCCAAACTATTAGATTTATTTCAAGTTCATAAATTAGTTTACAGAAATCAAGCAGGAAATCTTGTAGCTACAGTAAATTTGACAAATATTTACAGGAATTAATGACTGTTGGCAAGGCTACAAAATGTTCTTTGGGATTTTCAGTTATCCACTTAACAGAAATTCACATTGACCATTACCTCCTTGAGTACACGACTATTTATATCAGTGATGAATTCAACAATGTACCAATTATATTATTTTCTTCATGACCAAAGTTTTAAGCAGGATTTAACCAAGAGTGCTTGGCCTGTCTCTGTAGAACTGGGTTTTAACCGTTTACAAGATACAGCCTGATGCACCTAGCTGTGAATTAGTTAACATTTGGGTATATTTATGACAGTTTGGGGGTAGATTATTGCATTACTTCCAAGAAATATTCAATCAAGAAAATGTTCTTTGTTGGCTGACCATAAAGGTTGGCCACCGCTGAACTAAACCTTCAAGCACAGACTTGCAATACTAGGTTCAGCCAGTAATAATAATACAATCCTTGAATTTGATGTAGTACTTTGTCATATTGTTGAAATTGGGTAAAGCGCTTCAAGANTTTTTTGCAGTTTTGTAGGCTAATGGGCAGTCAATTTGTACACAGCAATGACCAGGAGGATTATTGTCCAGGACACTGGGAGAACCTCAATGATCAGTTTTATCCAGAGGATGGTTGGCCAGGACACTGAGAAAACCTCCCTTCTCCTTTCAAATAGTGCTACAACATCCACCTGAATAGACACAGACAGGATCGTGGTTTAATGAAGGACAACACTTTTACAATGCAATGCTTCTCCAGTATTGCATTGAAGTGTGAGCTCAATGTCCTGACGGGGCTTGAACCCACAACCTTCTGATTCAGAGATGAGCATGATTCAGTGGTTACCTATGAGTTATACTTCCTCAAACTAGGTTCTCAAGTTTATTGGCCTTGTGTGCTTCATAACTCCCCTATACAAAGCACCTCAAGGTGTTGTTTCCAGGTGAAAACAATGTTAGGGACATCTCTCCTCCTGGATGCCCATCTTGGGGAACATAAACTAAGTTTGAGTTCTGTTTTGTTTCCCCAAGAAATCTGAAATATAAATTATTAATAAGGTTTGAGACTTCTATTTCTTTTCTCAGTCTTTTCCCTTTGGTATTGGTTGAGCCTGGGCTGTCAGAAAACCAATTTCAAAGCTCACCACTTACCCAAACGTGAAATCTGTTAATTGGTGATTTGTACCAAGTTAATCAGTAGCATTGGTTAAAATTAATTTATGGGCAACTGCAATTCAGCTACAGAAATTTTCCGTATGACAGTCTCCCCATGAGGCTTTTTTTAAATTAATTGTCTCAACTATTGCTGACCTTGATCAGGATGGTGATTTTTCCAAAAGTGAAAAGACAGTGAGCACTTTAGTTTATAGGAATGAATTCTCACTCTCTCCTCTGATTAGACTGTAGTCAGGGGCTCAATAACCCATCACCCTCAAGTTCTCATCCTTATAATTGATTTTGGATTTGACAAGCAATTGTCTGGGCACCACTGTATTTCCTTTTAGAATCCCTCTTCGTACTGGATCAGTCAATACCTGCATCAGATATTTCAGTTTTGTTTGTGCATTTTTACTTGTAAACATTATGAACCTGAACCACTTGACTCAGAGAAACAAACATAATGTTTCAATGCTGCAATTTGTTTCGTGATTTTTGAGGCTAAGTAACGTATTGATGAGGATATGTTGTGGTCTTGATAATATTTATATTTGACTACTTTTCTCAAAGTAGGTAGGCAGGTAGGTTCATCCATCTCAATCACAAGGCAAATGGGTCCTGAGCGAATGACTCAATTTAAAAAGGGATAATAGATATTTTGTACCTCTGTGGGTACATGAACCGGGGGAATTAATAGATTTATGAATTGGCCTTTCATTACTGCAAGGTATTAAGGTTGTGCTATCTGGCATGGAGCAGGGCATAGTTTTTACATTTTTACTTGTATAAATGCTACATTTCTCCTGGGATTCCTACTCAAATGATGATCTTACTCATGACCTTGACTCAGAGATTGATTTTTTTTGAAATTTTTTGCTGACTGCAAGTTGTACGAATGAGGGAAGTAACCAGCCTGTGCAGGAATTGATAGCTTTACGCAGAGTAGTGAATAAATAGAGCACCCTACTTTGGGAGATTAGAGTCAGAAATTACAACATAGCGATGAGGCATTTGGCCTACCGAGCCTCAGCCAGTACTAGAAGCTAAGTACTTTTAATTTCAATTCCCTGCGCTTTCCCTATGACCTTTCGGACTCCAATTCTCTTTTTATGTGATCTCAGTCTCAATTAGCCACTTATGATAGGCCTTGTTTTGGAATGGTGGATGTGAACAAAGTTGGCGAGAGGGAACCTAATAAATGTTGGGCGAGAACAGTGATTTTTTTTTATATATAGAAAGTATTGTTTGGTATTTTTTCAGAACCACAATATTTTGATCTCCCATATCTCTGTAAACTATGGAAGCTTTTGCTTTGGTGTTTTCTAAACATCCTTTTCTATCTTTAGGTGCACATATCCTGTGGGGAAAGTAAGGGCTGGGAACAAACCCTAATTCTCAGGTGTAGCTCCTAGTCCCTATCATCATTGTTTAGGTGGCAGAAAAAAAGTGCTGTAATGCCCAGACCAAAATCCTGGGGAAGACTTGGCAGCCACTTGAGAGACCGTATTGTGCAGCAAGCAGCTAGCACAATACACCCAGCATTAGGTCTCCGCTGAAAAGTGTGAGAAAGAAAAACTGCAGTGTTGTAATCTAGCACTTTATTGCTGGAGTAAATTCCTCCCGAGAAATTTTGCTGGTAAGCATGTTGGATTATTGACGCGTTTCAGCAATACCATTTGCAGAGCATCGGGTTTCCAACTGTGAAACTCTGAAGAAAAGTTATCTTTGGTTATGCAATTTTGAAATGTCAACTTTTTTTTGGTGGGGGGGTGGGGGTTCAGCCGCATGTCTTGACACATGCAAAAACTCATCATTGTGCTTAAGAATATCCAAACCAAATCGAGTTCCACGACAACTTTTTTTTGCCCTTAAAATGAATGTGGAGTAATCTCATTTTTAAGATACTGATATCAATGCAGCTAATCGATGCACAATAAAAAGCATTTAAGCCTTGTTTCAATCATATGTGATGCTGCTTTCTAACGTGTAAAATTTGTCAAATCGAAGGATCAATAAAATACTTTGCTTTTTCCTTTCCAAACAGAAATTGAACAAAGAGTACAAAAGATCGTCATCTTGCGTTGACCTGCCTCTCACCAAAGGTAAAGAGCTTCACAATGAATTCTTTTGAAACAGAAGTAAAGACAGAAAGAAGGGATGATGAGAACGAAGTGGATGCTATGCTCTGGCAAGACGGATCCAAAGACCACGAGAGCAATAATAACACTAGCAATAATGCACTTGAGGTCGCGGAAATCTGTGTTGTGATTGGAGAGGATGGGGTTCAGCGACATTGCACACAGGATGAAGCCAACAATCAAAGCAATGGTAAATATTGATATTCAAATACTGAATAGATTAGCTTCATTCAGGGGAGGCAGTTTTTTGTTAGTCCAGTCTTCAACTCTTAGGATCCACGAGATGCCAGGCAGAATCAGGGAGCTGTTGTAGACACCTTAAGAGCCATCAAATCATACTCACAGGTTTAAAGATTTATTAACAACAATTGNTTTTTCGTTTCATCTCTACTACTTTTCAATTATTGTTACTTAAGTGTGCCTATCATTCTGTCTGTGGTGCTTACTGAAAGCAATGAAGCATCTTATTCTTGAAAAGAATTTAGGAGAGGACCACAATTCACTTGGTGGATAATTGGAAACTTCCTGTTCATATTTATTTTCAATGCATACTACAGCATAGATGTTTATAGATATGAACCCAAAGAAACTGTTTATTTTCATAGATCTGGCTTTGTAGGATATTGCACAAGGAATGCTCATAAGGCCTCAATAACAGATTTTGGTAATCAGATAATCTTTTGATTTCTGAAAATGAGTGGAATTATCTGACGTATAACAATAATTCTTGCATTTGATATAGCATCATATCATGTCTTCTAGACGTCTCAAAGCGCTTCACAGAATATACAGTAAAGTGAATTGACTGTTTTGCGGGTGAAACCCAGCAGCCAATTGCGCACAGCAGTGTCCCGCAAACAGTCGTGGATTAAGTGACCACTTTTAATATAGAGTATAAGCCTCTATAAAGTACAATCAAGCTGCTTTAAAATTGCAATCAAATGTGCATCTTGCAAAATGATGGCAGATGTCTTCCAGGTGATTTGTCAGTGAATGCATGGAATTGTGCAGTTAATTGACAGAGAACCATAATGTTTGAGCTATAAATTCAGTCTTACACAAACCAGGGTCTGCTCAAGTAGTTAATTTTTCTGTGTGCAGCAAAGAGGCATTCATTTGATGATTATATGGTTAGCTTATATGATTCTCTCTGTATTTAACCAACGTTAAAATGTTCCAATATGTAAAGAGTCAAATAGAAAAATCGCATTCCTTTGTCACAGTTTTTTTCCGCCTCCCCTCCAACTACTTGTTTCAGTTTTTCCAGTTGCTCTTTCCATTATTTAATCTTGTTCCCTGTGCCTTTTTCCTTCATTCTTTCCATGTAGCTTTGGGCTATTCCCTTTTGTGTTTAATAAATACATTAATCCTATCCACAGAAGCTATCTGAAATGGGGGAGGGGGAGGTGGCCACTTTGACAGAAATGCAAGGCCAATTCCATTAAATAGATTTTCCTGTTGCTGTGTCTGAGATTAAAATTTGTATTAATGAATCGCTATGGATATGGGAATGTTGTGTATGTAACAGTAATTGCAGTGCATGTAACAGTTTTGAAAAGCAAGGAAATTGAAGTGGGTATTGTATCTCAAAGCTGGCCCCAAGACAGTTCAGCCGCTTCTAGATCAAAGCGCTGAAGATAATAGCCCGTTAATGCAGCTATAATGCAGATGTGAGCGGGCAGACGTGAGCAGGTGATGAAATAATTGTGGAAACTTCAGCCTTAATTTGGAGGTCGGTTTTCTGTAGTTTTTTTTAAAAAGCTAGGCGGACCAGTTGGTTGAAATTTAGGACAAAACAGTTCTGACCAGCCGAGACTGGGTGACATTTTCAAGGTGGCGACCGGTTATTTAATGAGCAGCCTGATTTTGTTCTCACTCAACAACAACATGTGTACAAAGCAAAGTGATGAGCTGAATATTGTATTTGTTTCCTTACTTTAAAGCCACCAATGGCAATTGTGCCCCATAACCATATTCCATTGTTTGTCACCGATCTCTTTTATTAGTCTCTGCAGATAATGAGATTCCTCCTGGCAACTCTAACCAAGTAAATGTAAAAGAGGAAAATATGGAGTGGAAAACACAGCAACAGACTTCACCAAGTGAGTTCTAGTCACTGTTTTATCAAGTTGAAAGAGGTGAAATATTGGTGCTTGCAGTACACAGCAGAAGTTATCTTACTTCCCTGTTCTATAGAGTAGAAAGCCAGCTATCCACATGTTCAGTTAATCTGCTTCAAGTTCATATACGGCTGTGCTATTGGGAAATCCAGTTTTGGTGTATTTCTAGAGTCCAATACTATGAGGAAAATATAAGGTATACCCATGCTAATATACCAATCTCCAGTTTACAGTTGAAATGTGGATTTTACTAGGTGAAAGCTTCTAAACAGTATATTTTTCTGGAGGTGAAAATTAAATCTCAACTCTTTCAAGAAGTCTTAAATAAGAAATCACATCCACGATGGTTTGTAAGGCAATCATAATCAACGCTGGGTGACAGTTTTACGGGGTCTTTTCGATAGAAGATGGATCGAGTGCAAGACTTGAGTTTTTGTTAGAGCCAAGTGAAACAATTGGTTTCATCTGAAGAGGTTTATTGGTGCCAAGATTTTTTAGAAGAACTCAAACTGTGTCACACTGTGACCACCCATGGTTAACCCTCTGAGTACTGAATGCCCTTTGCAGCGTTCTAAACACAGCCTGCCTAAAAACAATCCTACTAACGTGTACAAAATCTCTGTAGAATTTTTGCTGCTCAATAACCAAAAGCATCAGTAGAAGGAAACTGAGAACCAAAATAACATTTCCTGTACATAAAAAAAATCTCATTCTGGGCTTTTAATTTGGGTGCAGAAATGCTGCTGTATTCCTAAAAGTTAAATAGTTTTCAACTGTGGAAAGATAATTGATTAGCTTCTGAAGTGAACGTTTGTTCCAATCATTCAACAAACCCAAGTTACTGATCTAAACATGGCTTTATTACCTTCACAGCAATGCAGTGTATTTTGGATCCACAGAAAAATCATATTTCAGATAGTTGACGTGCTTTCTCTTTTATAGAGGGAAGCATAAACAATGCACAATACTGTGGTAAGGGCACATTTTATAAGGAACGAAAACCTAATGAATTGTGCAGGAATTTTGCATTTGGCCTGCCGCGTTTGCTAGATAGCTCCCAGGTGCCTTTTGTATTTTGGTGACCCAAATTGCACTGGTGCTGGTTAAGGAGGGGAGGAGATCAGCTGACAGGATTCAATTCATTCCCGACCATTCCTTGTTTTGTTTTCTCTCTGACAACACTTTGGCTGATGGAGCCAAGGCCAGTTTTTGTGCTGTAGCTTTGTTTAAATGTGCTGCACTTTCATCCAATTGTTATATATAGCAACCAAAAATTAAAAAGGACTCGTAACCCTATTTGGATAGGAGTTCATCAAGCAGGCTGTTTATATCCAAAACAAAGCATGATGGAAGGGACGGAAGAGGACCGAAAAACAATTCTCCCCATTCCCAGCTGTTCCTCATGAACCACAAAAGAATTGCTTTCAAAGAGATGCAAGTTTGAATAGTATTCAATTTGGATATAGCTTCATTATCCAGGCAGCCATGTTGCAAATTACTGGTAGTTTTCTCTTAAGCAACACCGTGGTGCAACTAAACCAACATTCCACTTCAGCCAGAAAAGGGGGGATTGTGTCCAACATTGCAGTGAATGGGACTAATGTATGTGGTTTATGTGAAAAAATTTAAGGTATGTTCAGAAATGAGTGGCCTCTGATGAAAAAACTTTTCAATCGTGTAACTAGACAACTGTGAGTGACAACTGCATCTGAATAGCCACTGTAAATAGTCTGACTCCTTCTTTGTTTCAGGGGCCTATATATGTGGTGCCTGTGGGAAGAAGTACAAGTATTACAGCTGCTTCCGAGCACATGTGAGAGCACACCTAGGTAAATGTTGATTTGTTTCAAACAAAAATTGCATCAATTGGTTTAACCCTTTGAGTAATGAATTTTGTTTGCAACTATCCCATCATGCACGTTCTGTCATCCAAACCTTCAAAAAAAAAAATCTGTGTGCTTCAAATGCTGGATGTTACAGACTAGAATTTAGGAGGTACGGAAACTCACAGCATTTCTTCATTTACAGTCATTTTCTGAATAAAACTGTTGTTGCAACAAAACTGCTCCCATGGTACTCAAAGGGTTAACTGCTTTACTACTCTATCTCTAAATTCCAGCAGCCAGATAGTACTGAAACGCAATGCTGCAATTGCAGTGTTTTTATTCTCTGTCTTTGTTGTGAAAGTTTTGTGTTACAATATGTGAACAGGATATTCAGTGTTTTGAATAATATTTGTCTTGTATTTTGTGAGATTTGTGAAATAGTTTCATGGAACAAGCAGTCACATTGCTGCTGTTTGTGGCATCGAGAGTGAATTGAACAAAATATATACGGTAAATCCTTAATCCTTTGTCCTTCCCACAGAAAATGAAACTACGTCTGTATCTGGTGAGAGCTCCTCACCGGCCTTATCAAGTAAGCACCCATTTTTGTAGCTTAACATTTGTTATTAATGTGAAAGTGGCAGGCCATTGTTTGGGCACTAGCAGCTTGCACTGAGACACAGTTGAAAAGAGATAGCATTATCCGTTCCTGGAGCACACGGGAAAAGAAAATGTTAAATAAAGGAATAAAAAGGAAGCACTTATAAAGCACCTTTCATGTAGGGCAACATCTCAAAGTACACTTTACAGACAGAGGAACCTGAGCAGGATGAGAGAATTGGAGGGAGGTGACCGAAGGCTAAGTTAGTGGTAGATTTTTAGAAAGGTTTTGAAAGCAGGAAAGGATGCGAGATGGAGGGATTGAAGGGGAGGATTCCAAAATAGTTTATACTTGTACATCTGTGCTTTTTTTCTGCTTTCAGAGAATTTTAGGTACATGTGCGATATCTGTGGCAAGAAATACAAATATTATAGCTGTTTCCAAGAACACCGGGATTTGCACGCAGTAGATGGTATGTATCCAAAAGTATTTTGTGGGTGTTTTTGCCAAGTTGAAAGAAGATGCATTAGTTGTTTGTTATGGCAAAATGAAAGCAGCCATTCAAAATTTATTGAAAGAGAATTTGTATTTGTGCCCAAAACCCCCAGATATTTTCACAGTAAACAGAAAAAAGTGGCTTATAGATTTTAAAAAGTCTACTTATTGCTGACTTAGCTGTTGACCAGCTGTTAGCGATTCTGTTTTTAAGAATTGGCACAGCATTACCGTACTTACCAAGCCCTACTTGTAACTCAACTAAGCATTGTTTAAAACTTTTCTCAGGCATTCCTGGTGAGCATAATTTCTACTAACGTTAAACCACAATTACTTCAGCATAGAATATTGTACCTATTGCTGAGTTAGCTCCCCAATAGAACAATTTTCCTGCTCTTTCCCTTTTATATCAGAAATTGACATGTGTTTCAGGAATTTTTTTTAAGGCTGAGTAAAATATTTCACAGGAATGAAGAATTAATCTATTCTTCAATCTAATCAATTCTGTATTTATTAAGGATAGATAGATTCAGGCCATGTTATAACATGGCTTGTGGGTTAGTACTCGTGACATCAAGCTACTCTGCATACATACACCAACCGCACCTGCACACTTTGCGCAGTAAGCTGTTTACAAGATGTTTATAACAAACAAGATGATGTGAGACGGTGGTTCAGCACAATTTCTCTATTTGCATACACCAAAAGAGAAGCCTGATATACATACCAAAGGGTCGTATAACAGGTCCGTCAGTGATGTCTCTTTATCTTTGAACGTTTCTGTTAGAATGAAGTACTACTGAGTTTCTTGTTTTGATCAGTGTCTTTAGTCATTTAGTGCATGTCAAAATAGATTTTTTTTCAGACCTTTACTAATAGCGTTAATTAATGATAAGATTAATGATGTTAATTAAAATTTCTATGAACACAGACGTGTACAAATAACAACAACAACTTGCATTTATGTAGCGCTCTTCATGCGGGGTAGTGTCCCGGAGCGCTTCACAATGACGGAGTCTAACAACAAGCCAGAGGGAGTAGGAATATATAATAAAATCTTCGTAGTGTATATAACGTCAATGTCTTAATACAGTAGTGAAGAAGAATTAGGCTATTGTATCTGCTCCACAAACCTGTTTCTTCAGTACAATAATATGCTTGTGTTTGTTTCTGAATTGCAGATCCTTATGATAATGCAGTTGAAACGCCATCAGAAGTGAAAACTGAGCAGCCAGAAGAGGCTGTCCGCTATTCAGGATCAAGTACGATTTTGAAACATTGCATTAACATTAATAAATAAGAATGTAGATCTCAATAGTGTGTAATGGAATGAAAAAAAGTTACAATGCAGCTATCAGCATTTCTACCAAGATTTACCAACGTTATTAATGTCTTCACAGTATGAAATATCTGTGGTGGATACACATTTGGAATTTCTTTGGTTATTTTGACAGTCTAAGGGTTAGAATGCCCATGTTTTTATTCAATTTTTTAGAAGATATTTAATAATCCTAAATACTTGGTGAAATGACTTAACTGTGCTTTAGCTGTCTGTTCGTTCCCTTCTACTGCTGCACATTGAGGTGGCAGCAGGGGCATGGCTGACATATTACAGTAAAATCTTTAACCCTAACCCTAATGTGTCAAAACAGTCGTGTGTTATGGAATTGAATCTTCAAAAATATGTGTCCGAGCCTGGAAATAACACTGAAACCCAAGTGGCTACCAAGCTGACAGCTCATATTAAACAAGTTAAACAAAAATCCATTTGAATAATTTATTGGGTCTCGCAAAGATTTACGGTTGCAAGCAGACGTGAATTATACTTTTGGAAATAATAGTAATTCAGATTTTCACTCCCGATTCATCCTATTGCACTTCAAATATAAGGCCATTTAAGAACTTTCTAACTGCCAAGAACAGAGAGCAATATCAGTTTTCACGATTTTCTTTTACCATTCCAGAAACCGGTAGTTACTCTTGTGAATACTGTGGCAAACGGTACAAGTATTACACTCCTTACCAGGAACATGTGGCTTTGCATGTATCATCCGGTATGTATGGTTATTAGTGTTTCAAACCAAAATAAGGCCTTCATCCTTAGCTATAAATTGTATAGTATAGATAACATGGGACGTCTTCCCGACATGAAAAGCACTATACAAATGTATTTTTGTATGTAAAACAAATTGATGTACGCAAAAACGCCTAAGATGTTCTGTTTGACCCTCAAGCTACCTTGAGTGAGGGGCGCTATATAACTGTGAGTGTTGTTTAAGCCTGCAGAAATGTGCAGAAAAGTGTCCGTTACATGGAGTCTGTTTAATCTGATGACTGTTCTAGGATTGCAGAAAGCAATGCATGTTGTACATTTGTGAGTGTCGTAGTAAGAGTCAATACGTAAAGCTGCCATATTCAGATATACTCCGATCTGCTCCACGTCCCCCACCCCACCATTGGTGGCAGAGTCTTCAGCCATTCTGGAATTCCATCCCCCAATCACTCCGCCTCTCCCCCTCCTTAGCCTTCCACTTCCACATGTATGCGGACGACACAAACTCTATTTTTCCACCTCACTTTGCGACCCCCAGTCTCCTGATGTTCTGTCAGCCTGCCTGTCAGACCTCAGGAGCTGGATGAGCGTGAATTTCCTTCGGCTGAACGTTGACAAGTCATACACTTGTCCATGGTCCATGCCTTTGTCACCTCTCGGCTGGACTATTCAAATGCCCTCCTCTACCATTCATAAAACCCAGGTCATACAAAACTCTGCCGCCCGCATTCTTACTCACACCAAACTCCGGTCCCGATCACCCCAGTCCTTGCCAGACTGCACTGGCTGCCTGTCCCAGAGGGGATCAACTTCAAGATCCTCACCCTTGTCTTCAAATTCCTCCACTCTGCACCCCCCGACCTCTCTGACCTCTCTCCTCACAACAGTGCCCGTTGCCTTTGGTCCACCTGGTCTGGCCTCCTCCTCGTTCCCCGAGTCCTCCGCTCCACCCTCGGCGGCCGTGCCTTCAGCCACTACGCCCCGAGGCTCTGGAACTCCCTTCCTCACTCCCTTCACCTCACGCCCTCTCTTCCTATTTTCAGGTCTCGGCTGAAGACCTTTCTTTTCGACCGCGCCTTTGGTCACCTTCCGCTCCCTCCCCCGGCTCGGCCCCGGGATCCGTTACTGTGAAGCACTCTGGGGCACCGTCCAGCATGGAGAGCGCTATATAAATCCAAGTTGTTGTTGTTGTTTGCACGTTTCTAAAACAAGAATTGTCTGATAACATTTCTCAACTGCAGACGCAGAGAGTCTTGTCATCAAAAGAAACGAAGCTAAAATACTGAATACACCTGAAGAAAGCAACAGCAACTCCCAGAATTCCATTGGTACGTACCGTGTAACACTTTCTTTTAGAGGTGCGCAGTGTTTGAAGTGGAAGAAACTTATATTGAACCCTTAAAATTACCCCAGTCGCTGTCTTCAAAACATGCCAAAGGACTTGGCAGAGTTATCTGTAAAGTATAGCGATTGTGTATATTTGTAAGGGAACTAGTGATACAACCTTGATAGTCAATGTACATTATAAAATCAATAAATATATAATTTGTAAAGCACATCATTATTTAAAAGATTGAAACTACATAGGCAAGAAGGTCACAGATTCTCCATTTAGTTTTAAATCTCAACATTATGTCATCAAACACATTAAAACCATAAAATTAGATTTGGCTACGAGTCTTGAAGTGAAACACTGGTTTTGTTAAAACAAACAAAAATGCTTCTTGTACTTTTGTTGCACTGTTACATTTGGCTCTTTTCAGTATTTTCTACAAGCATTTTTTGTTACAGAATGGCACAGTATCACTTTTCATTATTTTTCTTGGAAAATGCACTCACATTTCAGAGCACAGAACATCTTGTATTTTACAGTGCTCTTTTTACACACTTTAATGCTATTCTTAGGCTCTGGCAGCATAAGACATTGTAAATGACCTTCTTGCATAAATACATATTATCTTGAAGTTGTGTTTTACAGGAAGTGCCAGTGGACAGAAGTCTGGTTCTGCACCTGTGAAAAGTAAGTCCGATCAACGCAGGGAAATGTTTGTGCACATATTTTCATTTGTCTGCTCATAGAAGATGTCGAGGTAGTAGATGTTTACATGATTTGTTCTCAAGTCGTTCAAAATAAATCTGATCTGAAAAGGATGGAAATGACCATGTTAAAAATGTATTTGTTTGCGAGATGAATTTTGCTTCACGCGAGGTATGAAAATTGCATATAAGGTGGTATTTGTTGTTCATTTTCAGATGGCTACAATTGTCAGATCTGCGGGAATGAATACAAACACTGTGTCTGTTTAAGACAGCAAGCACGCAATAGCAAAGAAAGAGGTAAAAAAAAATTATATGGCATTTCTCCTATAGAATTGCGGGCGTGGGGTATGTGGGGTGCAGATCTCTGGCTGAGGAGCCATAAGCCATATTCCACATGTCCTGATTAGAGGGGATATTGACGATGGACAGATCCCTTGGCTGGAAAATGGGTACTGCATAATAGGAACAACTTGGGGATTTTTTTAAAAATTAAATTGTGGGATGGGGGGAGAAACAAGTTTAAGTTTGCCATTTATTTACTGTTACAGTGGCAAGTACATGACTTGGTGCCAGGCTTTCACCAGTTTAAACAGAATTTTTTGGGTGAACTTATAGTTTGAACTGAATTATGATCAGGTTGATGTTAATTTAAAAAAAATTGGGGTTAGGGTTAGGAAGATAGGTAGATGTCGCCCCTGCTCCTCTTTAAACAAGATTCTAAGTGGCATAAGTGAGTTAATGTGTGGAGCAGGGTTTGAAGAGGCATTTCCTGGACAATCTAGTTGAGACTGATAAAGTTCGCCCTCTAGGGGAATACAATGTGAAAATATCAGTCGAGACTGACTTCTATTTGGGAAAACAACCCTCGTGTCGGCTGTATTGACCAGCCCACCCTGGCTTTGTTTTCTATCTTAGGAGTCGAAATTGTAAAGCTCTGATTTTTATTTTTTTCTTTCCCCCCTACAAGAGCAATATACTTGTGGGGCATGTGGGATTCAGTTCCAGTTTTACAACAATCTAATAGAGCACATGCATTCCCACACAGGTAAGTGCCATTTTTCTCCTGACAATCTCGGCTGGGTTTTAAATTGTTTTGTTTTTTTACCACAGATGATGAGTTCCTTTGGGTGTATATCGGGGGAATATTTTCATTTGAGTCGCTTTTTTGTGGCTATATTTTGAGACTTTTAAAATTTGTTGCCCAATGTTGCATCATTTAGTGTGTATTTTCGTAAAGCAAAAACCTTTACAAAATCCATAAACCCTTAAAGCAGGGTGAAGCGGGCACAATCTTTTATCAGAACCAAAATGTTAAAAAGGAGCTACAGCCTGAGGTATAAAGACCTGATGGACTGTAGAGAGACTGCCACACAGTGCCTGATATTTGAAGATATGTCTTTTATCTTTTCCACACGCAAGTAATTATTTTGTGTTTCGTTCAATAAAACTCAGTTGCAATGAACCATTGTTTTACAGCTACTTAATTGCGTAAAACACACCATTAGTGTCAAAGCACTGAACAACACCAGAGTTTATCCATACTTAAAATACATTTGCCATTTCTCTTAACAATTTATAGGAAACATGAGCAACCTCCATATCTCATTTGTGATAGTACCTTCTTTTGCAAACGATTTTGTGGAGCAGAAAATCATTTTATATGTTTAATTTGAAAGCCTACCGGTATCAGTTAATGACTTGGGTGCTTACAAAATGAGCAGAAGATGACATCCTAATTGCACGTTTTAAACACAGATAAACTGGTAATAAAGCGTAATTGGCTATTTATTTTCCTTAATATATTGTGCACTTGTAACCTTTCTTCCCCACTATAGCTGATGAGAACAGTTTAGTCACCAGACAGCCAAAGGCTGCTCGTACCACTACAGTTACTACAACTACTACTACAACAGCTGCTGCAGCTGTGGCTGCCCCGCCCCCTCCCCCACCTCCTCCTCCCCTCCCTCCTCCTCCGCCCCCTCCTCCCCCTCCCTCTGTAGCTGCTGCTCCTGCCACTCCTGCCTCACCCACTCCAGAGAAGAAAAATTCACATCTTCAGAGGAACTGTACAAACGACGGTACGTACTACTGCCTACTAAAGGCCTTTAGCTTTGAGTTCCGCTTGCGGATCGATTAGAGTGGTCCTAGAAGAGAATAATAATAATCCTTGCATTTGATATAACGCCTTATCACGTCTTCGAGACGTCTCAAAGCTCTTCACAGGATATACTGTAAAGTGAATTGACTGTGTATTTTGTGGGCAAAATATACAAAATTTACAATATTTTTATAATGTCAGAGTAAGATTGAAGATCACAAGAGAGGTTTGGATGAAGCAACTTTTAAACCAACTCATCCTTAATACCTGTCTTACTGTCCAACCCCTACAGCATCAAACTGTCCTTTTTAAAATGACTCCCAGCGTCCTGGCCTCAAGCATCCTTCCTGGTAACTCGTTCCAATTGTTAGTTACCCTCTGAGCTCAGAAATACTTCCAGGTGCCAACCAGGAATCGCGCTTTGCAACCTAGAAACTTGTGATGCTGCATTGGCATACAAAGTATTAATCTGAGGTACCCCACTCTCTTTCCAATTTGACAGTTTTAATTAGAACTATCCCTTGTTTTTAAGCCAATATTCTAGCCAACGCCTCCTTATTCCATGAGCAATATGTTGGTTAAACATGCCCACTCTTTCCTGATCAGTGCTGACTTCTTTTAACCAGTTTACTTTTCTAAGTGCATATCTGCTGGACATTGTGTATATTTTCAATGGTTTTCCCCACAGCTGGTGTCTGTTTGTAGCATCAAGGCATTTTTGTTGATGTTTCTTTAAAAAAAAATTATTTTAGCTAAATTCATTCTCGTTACAGAAGCCGGTTTCTTTTTAAGAACTGCGGCAAACTGACTATGTTTAGTAAATCCTGGTGAATTATAAGGTCTTCAACTAATATCGTTTGGAGAGTAGAGTTAGAAATGTAATGAGGTTTGCGAGATTTATTTTCATCGCCAAAGATAAGATTGCACCAGTGTAATGTTTAAAAGGTCCATTTTTCTTTGCATTCAAATTGTCTTTACAGGTATCAATCGCAGTGCTTTACATACCTGCTTATTTTCCTTTGCAGTGAACAGTTCAGTCCCTGAAAAAGAACGACAGCACATTGCTGAAAAGTTGCTGCGAGTGATGTGTGCTGATCTGAAAGCACTGACTGTGATGAACGGGAAAGACTTCATCAAACTTGCACAGATACTTGTGGACATCGGTGCACGTTACGGTTCCTTTCCTGTAAGTGAGGTCCTTGGGGATATGCACACTCTCGCTCTGAAGCATCTGCCCAGAATGTACAACCAGGTGAAGGTAAAAGTCACGTGCGCACTAGGCAGCAACGCGTGTTGGGGAATAGGCGTCACCTGTCACTGCCATAACGTTGGCTCTGACGCGTACTACGTTCTAACAGCACATCAGGTGGAAGGACTGCAAATGAAAAGATATGTCCTGGGCATTAAAGAAGTGGACGGCAAAGAGACCGGTGAGCAGGTTCACCAGTGGGTGCTGAATGTTCTTTCTGAGTTTGTCATGTCAGAGATGCGAACGATTTATGTCACAGATAGTAAAGTCAGCTCCGCGGCGCTGCTGAAAGCTGGAATGTGTCTACGCTGCTCGGCTTGTGCATTGAACTCGACAGTGAAGAGCGTGCTTAATGAGAGGACACTGCAAGCACAAAATATGCCAGAAGTCTCGGAACTTGTGAGTAATTGCATGCAGTTGATGAGCTCCCTGGAACAGTCTAACCTCACCCAAGAGTTGTTCAACCTTCAAGAGCAACGGGCCCCACCTTGCTGGAATTCTGTTGCAGACTCTCTCCTCCTTGTCCACGAGAAGTACGATCAGATCCGAGAATTGATTAGCGGGAGGAAGGAACTAAAACGCTTGCAAAATTGCAACAAAGGTTTGTTGAGCAACCTTACAGCCATTTTGGCTCCAGTGAAGGAAGCTGTGATTGAACTGAGCTGTGAGAACAAACCAACGTTACAGCTTGTACTACCAACGTACGTCAAATTAGAAAAACTCTTCACTTCCAAAGCCAACGATGCCGGCAGCGTAAGTAAACTCTGCCACCTTTTCCTCGAGGCATTAAAGGAAAACTTCAAGGTGGAGGCTGCTCACAAGGTAGCCATGGTTCTGGACCCGCACCTGAAGCATTTGAGGTCCGTGCCTCACTACCAACAAGAGGAAGTCATCAACAGAGTTTGCGAAATGATTTCGGATGTTGGCCAGTCCTGTGTAGAGGAGATCGACTTTGAGCCCACACGAAAGAAACTCTGTGGGATTAGTGAAAACTCTAAAATGTCACCAAGCAAGCATGCAGTGCAGGACGAAAGGCTCGGGAAAAGTGAAGTGTTTGAGTATTTAAAAGAACCTGTGCCCAGTGTAACCTCAGATTTATTCCTTTACTGGTCAGGGGCCACTCAGAAGCATCCGTTGCTGGCCAAACTGGCCTTTTGGCTACTGGCTGTGCCAGCTGTTGGTGCAAGGAGTGACTGTGTGATCACTTTCAATGAGACATGTTCAGGAAGGCAAAACAGCCAACTGACCCAAGAGGTGATGAACAAACTAATGTTTTTGAGATCAAACTTGCAATAGCTGTTCTCTGTCAGCCTGACACATTGGTGCTTTAAAGCAGAACTTAACCATGTTGGTGAAGTCGATTGTTTTACTACATTTGCTTTTTCTTAAAACGTGATCACTTTGTTTCTTATTGCTGTGGTTAGAATATTCTATACTCCTTTGTTAAGGCATTGTGAGCTCCCTCGACCAATTTCTGGGTACACAAGGACAAGAAAGCTGGGATTCGCAAGTCCTCAATTAACTCAAGTGACCTCCTTGCAGAGGTATCTCGTAAGGTCCAAATATGGGTTACTAACTGATGTCAAGGGCCACATTGCCAATGTTGTTCTGTTATATAAATATATTTTGACTTCAGCTGGCAGGCTGTGAATAGAAGCCCATGAATGTGAGTAGGACCAGCTAAGAGCTAGAGGTGAGAAGGAGAGAGATGTTCAGCCACGAGCTGAAGGCCCAAATGCCAATGGGCAGTACGGTGGACATGGAAGGAGAGGACTTCAACACTGTTCATTCAATTTGGGTAACTGAAACACTCTGATCAGTGTCATAGCTCGAGCATGCATCAGCCTGTGGGAAATAGGATTTCCTCATCGGTATGTCAGACCAGTCGTTCCAATTTCTGTGCTTCACCCACAACCATTCGAGACATCTGCCAAGGTTACCACTGTAACCATGGCAAATGTCTCAAGTGGTTGTGGGTGAAGCACAGAAATCCCAAACCCAACTGTGGCTCGAGCATCTTCACACCTACCACCGCTCCCTGTCGCAAGCAAAAACTGCGCACTACTCAAACGTCATACTGGAGGCCAACAATAACTTCAAGATCCTATTCTCCACCACCCACCACCTCCTCCGTGCGCCCCTTCAATCATCACATCTTAACGTCAAGTGCGAAGAGGTCATGGACTTCCTTACCTCTAAAATTGATAACATCCATCTGGCAGCTTCAACCCTCTGCCCCGTGTCACCTACCACCACCCCCATTCCGTCTCCCTCACCCACCCTGCCCTAACACGGCCCCCATCCTACGTTCATTTGCCCCCATCTCTCCTTCCTCCCTCTCATCCACCATCACCATAGTGAAACCCACACCCTGCTGCCTCGACCCCCTCCCCACCCAACTGCTAATCACTCAGCTCCCCCCCCCCTTCTATCCACTGCTAGCAGACACTATTAGCCAGTCTTTCTCCTCAGGATCAGTCCCACTCGCCCTCAAAACCGCGGTCATCAGCCCCCTCCTTAAAAAAACCTACTCTCGATCCCTCCAACTTCGGCCACTCTCGCCCTATCTCAAACCTGCCCTTCCTTGCCAAAGCTCTGGAACACATTGTTGCCAACTAACTTCGCGCACCCTCTCCCTCCACACCCTACAGGCGTGGAAGGGGGCTGTCTAAGTACAAGCTGTTGTTGTTCTTTGCCTGTACCTAGTTGGTACGTCACCTCAAATACGAAGGCAGCAAAGAGTTCCAGGCCAGGTAGTTAAAGGGCAACAGCCAGTGTGATTAGAAAAGCAAATGTCCAATTCATTACCGGTCTAAGTTGGAGTCTTTCAAAGTCCCGTAATTGGTCCATTGCTCTCGAAGCTTTATATTGATGCCCTTTCTCAATGTAGTCAAATGTCTAAAATCAAAGAAAAATGTATGGAGACGGTACTGTTGTATATTATTTGTCAAAATTAATTGACCTATTGTCTACGGTGCAAGATATTTGAAAAGTGGTTATCTGACTGTCATCTATCACCAAATGTCACGCTCTCTTTGGAAAGTCCCTGGATTCTACAATTCAACCTCTAAATTAGCAGAGCTCAATTAGAATTGTGCCGAATTAGTTGAGTTCTTAAATTAAATATTTGGCTGTACAGCCTGGATTGCAGTCTGACTTTCAGATATCCTCTAAATGTATTGAATAAGAAGACAGCAGAGAAGCAGTTTGTTTCTAGATGTGAGGAACAGCATGATGTTGAAAAGTATGACCTTTTCTATTTCAATTTGTATTAATAAAGCCATATACTTAAAAAAAACCTTCAACCATCCAAGAAAAACCATAGTGTGATTAATGCCATAGCAAAATTAAACTGACCTCAAAAAAATTCAAATCAAAAACGAACCAAAAAAAAAGGAACTTGGGCTCTTTCTCCCTTCCCTTAGTTCCTCCTTATATGCACGCACAAATCCCAGTTCAGTCTGCCTGCCCCAGCAATGTCTTGAAAGATTGTTCTATCAGCCTCACAAAGATCAGTAACCTAGACTAAGCAATGCCCCGCAAGTGTCATTTTAGCCGAATGCAAAAAGGAATTCTGTTGCTTTACTGAAAGATGTTGGCTGCCCATCGGAGCAAGCAATACTCCTCTCTCGCTCTTTTATCTTTTCATTCACTCACTCTCTCACTTACGCACGTGCACACACCGACACAGAGGCTGCGGTCCTTAGATGGCAAGGACATGCACATTCTCATTGACGGGAACCCATTTTCCTCCAATGTTACTACCACTATCTCAGTGAACATTAACAAGACTAGGATTCTCCTGACATCCCTCCAGGGCCATCATCCACTCTTATCAGTTTTACCCAAGAAGAATTGTGCTAGATTGTCTAGGTTCCTCCGTTGAACAGTATCTGAAGTGAACATTTCCCCAAACCCTTCAGCCCAAGATACTTCACTAAAATATGGGAGAGGGTATGTACACTAGTTAACCTTGCCTTGTATCTCTGGCATTGACAGCTATTTCATCAACCCAACTGTGTCACAATTTTAAGACTTTTTGGACTTATTTAACCAATGGATACAATATCCCTCCCAGGTTTACTCTGTGCCTCGACTGAAATCTTGCTCTCATTTCTTTTTCTCATTGTCTCACTTTAAGATCAATTGCCCACCTTTTATAATGTACATAGGGGTTTTACAGATCGCACAGACATTTTTGTAATTAAACGGGGAGGGAATGAGGATGACTGATGAAATCGGAGTCCCGTTTCATTTCAATGGGGTAATTGGAATTGGTCCTAGAGAGCATTTTCCCACATCTTACAAAGAGTTCATCCTTTACCAAAAATTTTCGAGTCTGTCAACCCATTTCTGAGACGAATTGCTTCCAGTTAATCTTCACGCAACCGACCTCATTCTCTGCATTTGCCTCTGCCGTCTCTCTTGACTTTCCGCTGATTTTTGTCAACCTGTCAAAGGGATTTTCAATATTGAGAAAGCTTAAAGATTATGTCAGGCAACAGCATCTTTCCTGTATTTTGGGTCTCCTCCATTTGCTCTCATAGAGATGGGCTAGTGAGCTTGCCAAGGCCACTGCAAACAAGAACAGTGTTAACAAGATATTCTGCCCTCTTTGAAATGCAGTTGCTTTGCGGCACTTTGATTTGAAAACAGATGATGAGTAATATCAATCCAACTGGATAGGGCACAACATTAAGCGACAGTGCTGAGAATTAGCACTGCTTGGCCCAGCCTTGTAGCTCATAACTCCCACAGACTGCGCTTTTCCACCAACGCCCAGAAAATGCAGTCACTCCACTTTGCAGTACATTCTGTGAAGCGATTTGGGAAGTTTCGAAGGTATATCAAATGCAAGGATCATTATTCACCCCGTCCTTTCTCTTTTCACCCTCCACCGCGCCCCCATTTCAGTGAGCGCGAGAGTAATTGGCCCCAATTGATTTTTTTTCCAGATAACAAGTCTTACATTTTATGATTAGCGCCTCGATGTAACCTTTAACGTACGACATCAGGAGGCACAGTTGCCTTTGAACCGAATGTATACGTTTGGAAATGTTTTTTTTTAAATTATCGAATGTTTTATTAGACGAACTGTAAATGCATAGATTTTAAATGCCCCCAGGTTAATTTGTACCTATTTATTCCTCTTAACTTCTGGTATGCTTCCTGTAGCTTTGAGTTGCAGCATAATAGCGTATAATTTCCCCTCGATTTCTGTTTTTGTGATCGAATTACCTCAGTAAAAAATGTTTAAAAGAATGCAGTGTAAAACGTAGATCAGCTTTCAGAAAAGTGAACAAGCCGCTTAATTTCCCCCTTTAACATAAACCTCAGCTAAGCCTTTGTATGACTCTGCGTTTCAAGGGTGGAAAACCCAAAATATTTTTAGTTGAATTAATATCGTTGGGGGGTGGATGGGGTTAGATTATACACTGAGAATGTAGTAACTGCCACATTGATTGGGGGTCATCTGAACACACCTATAGGATTTCCCATTAAGAAGTAAAAGGCAATTAAGAAAGAGCCAATGAGATAAAGACTGGAAGTACAAAAGGATGCTGGGCATGGGACAAATGGGTGAGGTTATGGTTAATGGATTGGGGGGCGCTTTGAGTTGAGATTAAAGAAATTTACTAGCACATAACTAAAAATTATCACCGTACCTGTTTTCCTCCCGAGTGCAGGAAACTTGTCCCTTTAAGATTTTGGAACAGTTTAATAGGGAAAAGCTTGGGTACCTTGTCACTGGTTCTGTTTTCAGTTGTGTACTTTTGGTTAACAGACATTCTCCACACTCTCGGCTAGTCACACTTGAGTGTAAGTCGACTAATTTTGGAGGCATTTTACTGAGCAGCTACGAACTTCCTTCCCCTCTTTTTTTGTAGCAATGGCCTGCAAAGCATAATTATATTTCACCTTTCCCAGCAAGGTCTCAGGAGATTTGGCATTGTTGCCATATGGTGGAATGGTCTACTTTCTCCTTTGTTTTCAGGTCTCTCCACATAAGATGTGAGCTGCTTGGAACAAAGCATTCCTTCCTTAGAATAACTAACCGCAAGGAAAGTGGGATTAATAAAGCGGGCCACTTAAACAACAAGCAGTTGTGGAGCCGACTGTGTAATGGGAAGATGGCTCCGAGGGAGATTCCAGTGGAAATTTACAAAGGCTTTGTCCCACGTGGAATGGTTGCCCTCAGGATGGGCCAATTGTATAATCAGAGACCTGAAAATAAGAGAGAAATAGGAGTTGCAGTAACAGGGAGGCCTTGCCGTTAAGAAACCCTCTGGGTGATCAATCTGCAAATTGTTGCTGGTCTATTGTGTGTGTATGTATGTATGTATGTATGTATGTGCGTGTGTGGGTGTACCAGAGACAATAATTTTCTTGACTTACTTTTTTCTCCCACCTCCCCTCCAATCAATCAACTCTTATTGGATTTATTCTGTTTTGCTCCTTCACACACCCTCTCCTGTTTTTATTCATTGAAGAAAAAAGCGATGCATTGTGTACTGTAACGTCGGACAGTTGAAAATGTCAAAAGATTCGGTGCATTGCAATAAACCTGAGCACCTGAAACGTGGGCTCGAGAGGGAGAGAGATGTCTTTCGACATCGCTTTTGTGTCACTTGGTAAAATATGCCACATCTCCTGCACTTTCGAAAAGTTTGTTTGACATTGTATATAATCTTGAGTTTATTGTAAAAAAAACAAAGTAAACTGTATATTCTTGTTATTTTAAGTAGGCGTTATTTAAATTTCAGTCAATAATATGAAGTACCAACTAGGAATAGGTATAGCAACCCCGACACATAGAGTAACAGATGATAAAATATGCGTTTATAAAGCGGTTTCTTTACTGAGTTTTTTTTAAGGTAATACATTTCATAACATAATCCCCAGACTCGCAGCTTTGCAACTCCTCCTCCGATCATTTCTTTTATAATATATACAGAGTATTTTTTTAAACTTTTTTTTAAAAGAAACAGAATAAAAGATAGTGTTGTGTAGCAGTGCAATTGTTGGGCTGCAGAGCTGAGGTCTAGGGCGTAACTTGTGTTTAAAGGATGCGTGATTTTGGGGGTGGGAGGCAATGTGGACCCACGTTACAAGACATCACAGATGTAGGAATATATAGGAATAATATCACACATTCTGGTGTCAGAATGTAACAAACAGTTATTTGTTCACCCTTGCACAATTCAGTACGCTGTATATATTATGAATTGAAACTCATTTCGGTCCAGTATTCCATTATTGTTAGGCTCCCAGGCCGTATACGTTTTTTTTAAAATAAGGCCAGTAACAAATTAAGTGTTTTATGATCATTTTATTGCTTCGTGCGGGAGGGAAAAAATCT